TTCACCGACTCATCAGGAGGCTGAACCCTCAACAGTCTGTAGAATCCCCTCACTGATTACACTGTAAGTGATAATCCACCTTAACCAAAATCAAAGTAGACTATCACTCACCCATATATATATCTACTGGTCCTCTATCGCAGAAGTGAGCTCTGCCCGGCCCAGCTATAAGTAGTGCTGGGCCTCGTGGGTGTGCCTCCGTGTGCCTCTGGTCCTAGGCCTAAAACGGCCTGCCTGGGTCCCTACCGAACGTCCAGGCACTCCCTGCTGATGCGGCAGGGAGTGTCCAATATCGGACAAAAGTGGACCTGGCCCAACAGGGCCTACCTATGTCCCTACCAGGCCAAAAACGTGGCCTTGTCGGTCTGTTCGGATCTGAACTGCAAGTGTGAGACGATGCCTGAACAGACAAAAATAGGACAGCAAATAAATAAATAAACAAATGCTGTCTCAAATCGAAGATTGCGGCCCTAAGGTCTGCCATGTCCATGAGCCTCCAGGGCGCGCATGGCGTGTGGCCTGGGGGGCCCCAGCAACTGTCGGGCCCCCAAAACGGGGCCCATGTGCAGGCTCGGCATGTAACAGTTGGTGTGAGTAAAGTCAATCACTTTCCTCAGGGGTATCACTAACTCTGGGTGACGTGGTGAGTCCTTATTGATCAGTCAAATGCATCCTGGGCAGACTGTAGGGGTTCAACCTCCTGACAAGTCTGTGAAAGTCTTGAGGAAATAGTCTGGCATAGTCATGCTTTTTTCATGGAGGTGTGTATAGTGACATGATAACACACACACGCACAACACACAGTTATGACACGTGTACAAATAAATTAAAAATAGATAATAAAAAAATAAAATAAGTTCTTCGCCAGACTAGACACCCGGTCATTATAGCTGTATCTGGGGCAAGTTTCAGTCCAGATGCAGCCCTAGTGACCGTGCCTTCTATTTGGGTGAAGATGGTAGTAGTAGTAGTAGGTGCACCCGTGCGCGCGCGCGAGAGAGAGAGAGAGAGGGTTCGCGCGTTGGGGTCACTCCCCCATGTGCCCCGCCCCTCTCTCTCTCTCTCTCTCTCTCTCTCTCTCTCTCTCTCTCTC